GGAAGTCATGGCATCTGTGTGCTGCTGAGCACACGTTCTCGGGAGAGAGGAGGCTGAAGAAGCGGGTCTACACCTCATACGCCGTGTCCAGGACTTTGCAAGGTATTCCGCAGGCATTTGGAACCATGAGAGGGAAACCATCAGCTGTGCATTTTGGAAAGCTCTCTCTGTTGGCTTTGTAGGGACTGGATTTAAAAGTGAACAACCCTGGAGGTAGAGCCCAACGTCAATGCGTCATCCAGGCGAGAGGTGATGGCCTGAGCCCTGGCAGTAGAAGGAATAGAAGCGGGGACATACCTGCAGAATATTTCGGAGATGCGGTTCTCAGGCCTTGGGAGTCGATTGGGTATGGAGGAATGACTCCCCTGTTTCTGGCTTGAGCAGTAGAGTGGGAACAGCTCCAAGGGGAGAATACTGCAGGTAGAGCGAATTTGGAAGAAATATATGTTCACTTGCAGTCATTTAGAGTTTGAAGTACTTGCAGGTCAAAGTAAAGCTGTCTAGTAAGAAACCCATACGTTAATGTTAAACTCATAGTAGCGATCTAACTGTATGCATAAATTTCGGAATCACTGATCTATGTGTGGTTAGTGCTTGAAATCGTGAAAGGGAGTGAAATCGCTCGGGAAAAGAAGGAAAAGCAGATTTGTCCCTGGGCCTGACATGCAAGCATTTAAAAGTTACGCAGTTCCCCGAGTAGCCCTCCCATGGCCGTTCCTGTGTAATACGTTACTTGTTAAATATTTTTAATTTCAACCTGCATGTAGTGGATATAAATTTGTCCTCCAACCTCCAGATGCAACACTCTTATTTTTGCTAAAGCAGACAGATCTTCCCCCCCGATCCTTTGCTCACCAGGATGTGAAACATCCAGGCTTGCTACTCCCTCCTTCTTTGGAATCGATCACACAGAAACCTTTAGAGTTTTACCCGACACAGAAATTTGAATGAAGAGCAGAGGGCACGGATATTTCCATTACACACTTAGTTATTCATTTCTCCACTTCTGGTTAATAATTTTTAACTTTGAATCCCATTATATTTAAGATGACAACTAGGATGACTAATTAGGCATAACTGGTCGCCCCAATAAGGAAAGTTTGAGGGATTTAACACAGAGACTCTGGAGAGTTTTAGACCTGCTCCCCATCTCCAAATATCCAAAGTACATGGGGCGCCTGGGTGGCTCATTGGTTAAGCGTCCTACTCCAGATCAGGTCATGATCTCGCTGTTCGTTGGTTCGAGCCCCATGTCGAGCGTTTGAGCCCACGTCGAGCTCTGTGCTGACATCTCAGAGCCTAGAGCCTGCTTCAGATTCTGTGTCTCCCTCTCTCTCTTTCCCTTCCTTGCTTTCACTCTGTCTCTCAAAACTAAATAAAACATTAAAAACAATTTTTTTAAATCTGAGTACACACAACTGTTGCCAGCACGCAAAATAAGATAAAATTACCTCCTTAGTAGGACTCTGTCCACGTGCACCGTTGACAAGAGTCAGCGTGTGAGTTTCCACGACTGATGGATTTCATCACATGATCAGTTTCATCACATCCCCCCATTCTCTGGCTATTGGTCAGCTCACAGCAGCGCAGGAAACACCCTCAGCATCATGACCTCTGGGGTTTTATTATCATATCGTTCTCTGTGGGACCCTGTCCCCATTCTTTCCCAAAGAAACCAAATGGCAAAGAGACACAGGGTGAAAAATTTACATTGTTGACCCCCAAGCCCTGTGGGTTGTTAACAATGGAAAAAGTTTGCTGGTGAGGGTGAAACTTGACGAGTTAGTAACATTCTACCTCCAAGCCCTTCATTTTGAGGTTGGGCTTGCCCTATAAAATCAGGCAGGGAGCTGAACAAAGCTACTTTTACCTTTCCAGAATGCACAAAATGGTTTAATTAAGGAAGTCCTTTTTTTCTACCCATAAGGACACCTCTACAAATAGACTCAAATCTACATGCAAATGAAGCCATCTGGCTTATTGTTGTCAATAGCACCCAGCCCGCGGTAAACAATAGAAGGCTCACTGTGTAACTCAAATACCCACATCTCTAACCTTGGGGTCACTGAAAATTTTCAGAGTAATTAGACTCAGCGCTAGTATTCACATTGGAGAGTGCTTGCCACTTAAAGCAGAAGCAATAGCTGTGTTTCTTGGTGCGGTCCCAGTATGGGGCCACTGGATGGCTCTGAGGAAATTGCTGGACCTGGGAGCCAGTGGCGTCCAGGCCACACCCGCAGCCATGGCCTCACCAAACCACAGCCACGGCCGTAGAGCCCACGTGCAATCTTCTCCCTGTCTGCCAGAAGCCAAGTCTTCCAGCCACTTCCTGGTTACCTGCCCTCTCAGAGGGGAGGGATCTCTGCCATACCTTCATTCTAATGAGAGGATCTACAGTGTGTGGGTAACTGCTTTCTTGGGTGCCCGCCACTGCTTTGTTCGTCAGATTTTTATTCAGCGGCTGCTCTACAAAACCATATGTCACATCGCCAGGGCTCAAGGTGACTCCCATGTGTGTGTCCTGAAGGAATTTTTTTTTAAATTCCTGAGGAGATTAAGCGGCGGGGAGGGCACAGGTTTGAAAGCCAGTGAGCAGGGAGCAGAAGGGTGAGAGGCGAACAGAACAGATGGCGGACGTGGGTACGAGTCTGAGATGAGTCGACTGGCTGCAGAAGTCAGAATTGGTTATGTCAGTTTAGCTAGGGGTGGTTGGCTGCTCCCCCTTAAAGAATTCACCCGCGGGGTAGGGAAGGCTCAGGAGGGGCCTCAGGGCTTGCTGGCCTGCTGTTTAAGGAAAGGAAGCTCCTTTCCCATCCTCCCCCAGGACCATAGGTGACACCAAAGCCATCAGTCATAATGGTTAATGTGCTTTTGGTAGTAGTAACAGCAGTAGTAACATGTGTTGAACACTTACGTTTTGCTCAGCCCTCTGCTAAATGCATTTCGTGGATTATCTTCCGTGATTCTCAACACCCATTAAGAGAGGTACCATTGTTAATTCCATTGTATGCATAAGGAAATTGAGATTGAGGAAGAGCAAGAAACTTGTCCCAGTCACCCAGTGGGTGTGGGTGATAAAGCCAGACCCTGACACTGGAGCCTGCATGTGGAACAGGCCACGGCAACTTTGCCAAGTGACAAGCCAGAGCAGCCCCCTGAGGTCGCTTATTGTCACCCCACCGTGCCCCTCCCCCAACTCCACGTCCTCCAAATGCCCTGCTCCTGCTGCTACCACCGTCACAGGGGTGTCTCCAGCGTATCACATGTCCAGTTGCTTCCTTACTTGAGTCCAGACTGTTGACAGGCAGAGGGGAAGCGAACTCCAACAGGGTCTGGAACGGAGTCCGTGGGAGGTCGGGTCCTGGTGAGGCTCACAGAGGACTGGTGAAGTCCGGGCAGCCCCAGTTAAACCCTCAGTTCACTTTCTCCAACCCTGCCAACAGCTCTCCTGTCCTACCCAACAGGAGCTAAGACGTGACGGAACCACGTATGAGCTAAGCAGTAAACTGGGGGAGACTCAGCAAGGCTGTTCTGATTCCTCTCAGTGTCCCTTTGTCTTTCGAAGTGAGGGTGATCCTTTCCTCAGGGAGAGGGGGGCACCTCACATAAGGGTCTGTGACCTGCTTCACGGGAGGGCCAGAGAGTCCTTCCCGCACCAGCCATTTCTTACGTTCCCTTAGTTCAAAATATTCAATATGCTGAGGTGCTGTATTTGGGGGAGCATGCCCTGAACCCCATCAGTTACATACACGATGCAGTAATCAGAGAGCATTAGCTTCCTCAATAGCGACACAGGCAGCTTGAATATATTGACGAAATGCCTTTAGTAACTCCATGGCAGAATAATTTTCTGGAGTGTCTCAATTAGGTGTGGAAGCAGAATAAGGACTCTTCAGAAAAGCAAGGATTTAGAAAGTCGACCTCTTGCATTCCTTTTCTCAAAAAGCTACAGGAGAATGTGCCTGTGGAAATGAGGGTGTAGACCTCATTTCCCTGTAGAAAGGGATCCCTGTAGAAAGACAGATCCCTGTAGAAAGAGGGATCGCCCAAAGTCATGGGGTCTTCTGATTTGGCCATTTAATAGTGAAGAGTAGCAGAAACATGGTCGGCAATAATAGCAAGAGACAGGTCCCAGGACCAGAGCCTGGTGTCAACCCTCAGAAGAGCCAGTGGGCCTGACAACAGGAAGTCAGAGGCTGTAGGGGACCTCCGAGGGACAAAAAGGGGGCTGCTAGATCACCCGATGTGTGTGATGTTGGGAACACATGTGGGAAGAGTTTTACAGATGTGTTGAGTTATTGGAGAGAATTTACGACAGGTACAGAGAAAATTAAGCCAATGGAAAAAGAGGTAATTACTGATTCCAGAGGAACAAAAGAAATTATACAAATAAAAGAAACTATAATTATATTTTACTAGTCGGCTCATTAGTGAATAACCCAGAGCCCTAAAAATGTAAATATTGAATTTCCACCGAAATTCTGTGAGTTGCTAGTTTGGGAGAATCTGGAGAGAGGGAATAGGCAGGCAGGCTTCTAAAAATGCTCAGTCTTTATCTTGTGTCTGGGGAAGGTCAATCAAGTGTCTCTAAAATGCATAAATTAATAAATATCGACACACGCATATTCTACAAACGCAGGGATGTAACTGAAAGAGTTACGTGTAGGAGTTGCTGCTAAGAAACTGGGTTGGGATGCTGAATCTTGATTTCACCTCAGGTCATGATCTCATGGTTCCTGAGATCAAGACCCACAGCAGCATTTTAAGTTGAAGTGCAGAGCCTGCTTGGGATTCTCTCTCTCTTTCTCTCTCTCTCTCTCTCTCTCTCTCTCTCTCTCTGCCCCTCCCCTGCTCGCTCTCTCTCTCTCTCTCTCTCTCTCTCTCAAAATAAATAAATAAATAAATAAACTTAAAAAATGAGAAATTAAACCTAGGCTTAAAACAAACTGCTGCTGTCGACCTAAAAAAAGGGGTAAATTGAGGCAAGCTCAAAACTGTCAAAAAGAGGAGTTTATTTAGGAATAGCAGAAGAATTGCGATTTGGTACACACAGACTGTGGCAAGCTCCAGGCATCTGTTGAGGGTTTGGGGAAGACTGTATTTATGCGCAGGGGATGGAGACAGAAGAGAGTTCAGTTAGATCTGTTAAAATAAAAAACAAACAGAGGCCAGCTTTGAAAATTCCCCAAGCAGAAAAAAACAGTCCAGTCAGACAAAAAAGAGCTCAATTCAGCTTATTTTTTCAGACCAACCCAACGTGGGTCATTTCTTGTTCATGCCTCTGGAAACCATAAGCAAAAATTTCCCAAGATTGTTATGAGGTAACCCCTGACCAACTCCTTATCATTTAAGAAAATCCCAACATTATCAGATTTCTGTAAATTGGACATTTATGGGAAATCAGCATGTGTGTCCTTATGTTTTATTTTCCTAAAAGCACGTGGGTGAGATTTTCTATTTTCTATCCTCCAGTTCCATTTTAAATTGAAGTTCTTTAACACTGCTCAGCAGAAAATATCCTTAGAAATTTTGAAGTCAGTATCCCATACCAAATAATCATTGGTGAGATTAAAGTAAATGGCTGTTAAAGAATTTGGATGAACAGGGTGCCTGTTGGCTCAGTTGGTTAAGCATCCAACTCTTGATTTCAGCTCAGATCGTGATCTCAGGGTTCCTGAAATCCAGCCCCACATGGGGCTCCTGCACTGATGGGGCAGAGCCTGCTTGGGATTCTCTCTCCCTCTCCCTCCATCCCTCCCCCACTTGTGTTCTCTCTCTCTCTCTCTCTCTCTCTCTCTCGCTCTCTCTCTCTCTCTCAACATAAATAAAATAAACATTAAAAAGAAATCTTGGGGGCATCTGTGTGGCTGAGTCAGTTGAGCATCCAACTTCGGCTCAGATCATGATCTAGCAGTCTGTGAGTTCAAGCCCTGCATTGGGCTCTGCATTTTCCAACCTTGCCTTCTTTTGCCTGTCCACACTACTGAGATACTACTCTTTGCCCTGCAATGAAATCTCTTATTTCCAACTTGGTGTTCTCATCCAGTGTCACTTGACCCTCTATAGCACTGACCTTGACAGCAAGTACAAATGGCAGCAATTTCAGTAATCTTAAGGTTAGGAGACCATCATCCTTGCAAATTCATGGCATTGTTCAATGAGGTCTGTCTGTAGGAAAAAAACAGAAATTAAGACATAGGTAAGAACAGTTATGGTGTGCTAAGGATGCAGTGTCCCGTTATCAGGAGGTGCTAAAGCAGCATTAATTTTTATTTATATTTAGTTAGTATCTTCAGTACTCAGGTTACCATAAAGTAGATCTTACCCCATGAGGACATCGCATGTGGAGTGGAATTAGATAGAACTGAGAGGAGTGGCTATACAATTACCCACTGATTTAACAATTATTTATTGAGTGCTTACTACGTTCTGGGGCCAAAGGTTATAGAGACGAAATGGTTTTCTCCCAGCTTTCAAGGAGCTTATGGCCAGTTGGGAATAATGTAAACAATAATAATGCTCTAGGCTCCTTGCATCATGAAGCACAATGAGCACTAGGGAAAAAAACAACTCATGTTATTTTGTTGTAACCAAAAATCCCAGAGACTGGGCAACAGACTTATCAGAACATGCCTCACAGAAGTTCATCAGCGTCTGAAACAGTGGCTCCCCACCTTTCTCATTGTCTACATTGCTCATTAACACTTTCATGCCCACATCCGCATAAACATATTTACTTACCAATTCTATCATGCACCACTATACTCATATATCATGTATATTATAAATATGACTGGGGGGGCGCCTGGGTGACTCAGTCAGTTGAGCATCTGACTTCAGCTCTGGTCATGATCTCGCAGTTCATGGGTTCGAGCCCCACGTTGGGCTCTGTGCTGACAGCTCAGAGCCTGGAGCCTGCTTCAGATTCTCTGTCTCTGTCTCTGTCTCTCTCTCTCTCTCTGTACCTCCCCCACTCACGCTCTGTATCTGTCTCTAAAAATGAATAAACATTAAAAAATGTTTAAGTATGACTAAAACAGATCTTTTAAAGGATGGGTTTTAAAAAATAAGTAGAATTTCTAAGGACCTCTGCTTGTACCACATGGCTCTGCTTCAGCACCACCTGAGTGGACAGCTCCACTCTGACACAAGTCCCCAGAAAGTCCTCACTGTTGCTGGTCAAGAATCTGGACTTAGTTCATCCAGAGACTTGGGGCATACCACAAGTGACAACTCCAAAAGATATCATGTGATAACCCAGACATTTCCGGAAGGATGACTGGTAACCACCGTTTGCACCAGGCTCAATTTCCCTGTGAATATGTCAATTCAAAAGGCCAAATTAGTTAGAAGTTGCTTAGTGAGCATAGAATTAGAACAAATGGAATTGTGGTCTGTGGGGACCTTTCATCAAGCTGGAATAACTGATTGAACTGCCCTTCTCCTCTCCAGGGATATTTCTGTCTGAATAACCAGCCCTGGACCTCAAATAAATACTGACATGTTTTACTTTTAGCTTTCCTTTTTCTAGAATCATTTCAGACAACTGCCCTTCTGTTAATACATCACCACCTCAGAAAATGGGAATGCACTTGATTGGAATGAAACTTTAAAATGTTAATTACATTCACATCCTGGGGATTTAGCCTAAAGAGACAGAATTGCTTTGCTTCAAGCATGGCTGAGGACTTTGATTCTTGGGGCCCCTCTGTTGTTATAGGGCTCTCACCCAATTCGGATGAGCCAAATCCTGCTGACCCTGGGGATGGGGCTTCATTCCTTCTAGAACTCTCCTCAATGGGAGGGCTGCAACTTCTAGTTTGATTTAGGTTTTATCTTGTGAGACCTTCATTCTCAGTCCACTGGGAAAGGTAAGCCCCCGAAGTCCCCTCAGGAGATATTCAGCCACATCTTGAGCCAGGAAGAGAACTCAGCCCTCGGATGATAGCAACTCACACATGTATCATTCTAACCAGTATCATACCATATTCTTCTTTCCCAAGAGGAAACTAGTCTATTTTTTTCTCCTGCTGAAAGCTTTGATATGGCAACTTAAAAAAGAAACCTCAAAACTGCACTAAAACTTTTGGGACCCCTTAAATAATAGATTCAATCCCCACCACTGTTTTACGTTAATAAAGACATTTACAAACATATTTTGTGCTGACTTGCTGGTTATAAATTGCCATTCATTTATCTAGATGTCACTCTATCCTAGACATCTCTAAGAATGAAAACAAATAACATTGATTAAATGAGAGGTTATTTTAATATCTCATAATATAACAACATTATATATTTAATTTAAAATTATGGTTTATGTGGTGCCTGGGTGGCTTAGTCGGTTGAGCGTCCAACTTCGCTCAGGTCATGATCTCATGGTTTGTGGGTTCGAGCCCCACATCAGGCTCTCTGCTTTCAGTGTGGAACACACTTCAGATCCTCTGTCCCCCTCTCTTTCTGCACCTCCCCCACTCTCTCTGTCTCTCACAAATAAATAATAAGACACTTAAAAATAAAAAATAAAAAAATACAATAAAATTATGGTTTAAGTATAGCAGTGCCAACACAAAAATAGTTTTATTTAAAAATAGCAGTTGAACTTAATATTGTATATGTGCATAATTTGCATGAAAGAAAGAAAAAATGTAGTTTATAAAAACTATTAGAGGGAACTTGATTAATTGTGTTCTTCGAAGGAAAAATCAGTAAAAAATGAAAAAAAAAATCAGATGTTACAAGAAAGTTTTCCACAATTTACTGACCTTGTAGGGTTTGAATTCAGCGATTCATGAATCAGGCAGCATCCGATCTAGCCGATAGAAAATATCTCTAGAGAACCATACAAAGCAAGTGACTTTTATAGACAGAGGTGAGCAGGAACAAGGAAGTTGCACTGGGAGTTTTCTGATTGGCTAAAGCAGAATTACTTCCCTTATATGGAGTGAAAGGAGGGCTTAGAGCCACATCATGTAATTTGTGCTGAGCAGACAAAAGCCAATTGGTTGACTCGGGCTTTCCCTTTCTGGGAGAACAGGGTGTAGAAACTTTAAGTTTTGGGTTGCCAAAGTGAGTGACTCCATGTTGGGCCTAATCTGGTGATGTTAACATAAGTTCAGTACTAAAGGGAAAGGCTTCAGTAGCTATTTTAACGCATGCCCATGTATTTTTGTCCTTAGTTGTGATAGTAAACATACTCAGAAATGTGCACAATCAAAAGGAATTTTTCCCCTGCAGATAAAGTCAAGAGTCAGCTCTTGGTTGCATTGAATTCTTGGTCCATCTGTTCTAATGGAATGTGCATCATAGAGTTTGGTGTTTTTATTATGTCCTGTGAACTGCTTTTCTCCTGGGGTCACTGGCTACTATCAAGCAATGAGGGAGTGGTGTACAACCATGTCTTTGCCATGAGTTCAAGGGTAGAGGCTAATGGAGAGCCCTCAGGTGGACTCAGCTCAGCACCCCACACCGTCCTCACCTGGAGTCCCCAGGAAAGAAGAGGTTGGCAGGGGGAGACACTCCCTTTATGGCAACTAGCCTCTGGAGGTTTGGAATGGGGGCGGTGGGGAAATGAATAGCCTGGTCTTCTTGCCTTTTCCTTGGCCCCCACCTCCCCCACACTGTACTCAATGTCTGAGCAGGAGCTGGTTATTCAAAGACAAAGTTGGATGAGAAGTAAAAGCAGAACACCAAAGACCCCATTCCTATTGTATCCCTCTAGGTCTAACCCAGATGCTTCTTGCACCAAACCCAAGCCATCAGTACGTATGCATGAGTTCAAAACATCACCCCAACCCCCACCCGGTGGTGCCAGGATCTGCTCTGCATTTTTCCCTTTATTGGCATCTACCCCCTAGGGTCCCTCCAAGGCTGCTCTTGGTAGGAACCCCAGCTGTCAATCATAAGTACAACATGTTCTTACACACACGCATAGAACTTTCAGAAAGTTGAGAATAAGTCTGTGGGGATTTTGTGCCATGATGTTCAGCAGGATGAGAGGAGACAAGGGCTATTGCCAATGGAAATTTATTAAAACTTAAGAAATGGCTGTGTTTTCTATTACTCCTGTTGTCAAGGTATACATTACCCTGGGTTTTTTTTTTCCTTCCACAGGGAATTATTGGAATGCTGCCTCTTTCCCAAACCCATCATCCTACCTGCACTTCTCCACTTTCCAAGGGGAGACCAGCGCTGACATTTCTTTCTACTTCAAAACATTAATCCCCCGGGGAGTGTTCCTTGAGAACTTGGGCAACACAGATTTCATCAAACTAGAACTGAAATGTGAGTATAAACTCTCTGTCAACTAGTGAATGGCCTCCTCTCTTGTCACTTCAGGCCGGTCCTAACACTGATTATGTAATCTGATTGAATCCAAACATCGGCGGTTTCCTTTGTTCCAGAGATGATGCTGGAAGGTAGCTACACAAACGTGGAGAAAGACCTTGGCCCCCTGCCCTTAGGTTGCTTCCCCAGGAAGCAGGGACACTAAGAGGTTCCCAAGCAATGCTACTCAAAGAAGAAGATGAGAGAATAAATTGCTCTGGTAACATGGGGCAAGAGTGCATATTCAAAGCTTCTGTATGTGTATGTTTCTTTTCCAAGGAGACAGGGTTTAGAGGAGACAGAGGATTGTGCAAAGTGACCAGGAGTAAAAAATAAGATACTGGGAGGGATAATACAATAAGGAAAAGAGGGATAATAAAAATGAAAACCTGTATGAGTTAAGAAAGTAGCGTAGAAACAGGATTGTGTCATGCGAAGAAACTTTGAGTTGGAAGCTTTCTAGCAGAGGCCTCAAACCCACACACCCTCCAGAGGTTTCAGTTCTGAGTTTATTTAGCTAAGGGTACAAAAACAAACCTCAGCAGAGTGACAGCAGATACTGCCTAGCTCAGCCCAGCTTGCCTTGGATCCCAAAGACCCTCACCAGGTCATATGGTCTGGGGAATGCCATCTGTAGAAGATAGGGGTTCGCTGGATATGAGAAGGTCATTTCTCATTATTCCAAGGCCCTATTAGCCTTGGGGCAGAAATTCAGCTTCCAGAATCTACAGCCCACAAACTTCCAGGTTGGGGGAATATTGACACATGCCAAGCTCCCTTGGCCGATCAGACCAAAAAAGTTATCAGCACAGATGACAGACGTGACCAGAACGGGTACACAAACCCATTCCCCAGAAATATCTGATGGAACATTTCTTCTCTCTTTCTGTAGTTATAATTATGCAATATGGTCTTTTAAAAAGAGAATCTCAGGCAACATTTTTCTCCCATAATCCTATGGGATTCTTTTTGTAAAATAGTGGACTGTGATCAGCAGACTTGGGAGTTCATATTCTCAGCTCGAAATCCAAGTCCTTGGATAAGTTGCTTAATCTCTTCGAATCCCAATTTCCCGATCTGTAAAATGGGGGTGGTGATTTGTGGGGCCATTATGATAATAGAATATAGATACTCATGAAGCATTTCCGTCAGCTTCTAGAAGGTGTCAATATTGTATTCCGCAGGATGTTCATTATAAGTCTAGTCTGAGCCAGATCTCATTGAAAGGGAAGACTGAGAATATTCTAGCCTTGGAATTAAAAAGTACACAAATAGTCAGGGACACCTGGCTGGCTCAGTAGGTAGAGCATGCAACTCTTGATCTTAGGGTTGTAGGTTTGAGCCCCACGTTGAGTATAGAGATAACTTAAAATAAAATATTTGGAAAAAAAAAGTAAATGATCATCCTCTCTTTAGAATTATTTTAAAGGGATTTTTCACTTTGCACAGTGAAAATTAATGGGATCAAACTATTTCCTGACTTCCACATCAGTAGGATTGTATTTTAGAAATACCTCATGGCAAAGAAAAAAATTGACAATCCCTATTTGAGTAATTCTGTCTGCTCCTGTAAGATGACTTAGATTCACCTCGTCCTTATTTTGTATCCCCATGTTTTATAAGCCTGCGCCCGGGTTGAAAAGAAGACAAGACCAAGTATAGACAGATCAAATGTTTCTATTTAGCACCTGCATAGTAGAATCTCAATTATTTCTGATGATGAAAAATCTGCAGAGATGTTCTCTAAGTTGCCCCAGTCTTTCCACAGTATGGAGACTCTGTGGCAGGGGGTGAATTCTAGCCTCGTTTGCCATAGAATTCTTTTTTGTCCTAGTGTTTCCTTGCAGTGAAGAAGGGTGGGGACATTCAGACTAGAGGCTGGCCTCTGCTCAGAGTCCTCTGGAGCTTCTAGCAGTTACTAAGGGTGGAAGTAAGATCCTTCAGTGGCAGAGATATCCAATGCCCATCACTATAGAGCATCTCCATTGAGGTGCAAAGGAATCTACGGGACAAAAAAGGCAGGTGTCTGTATTTGAGAAAGCAATGGCTTCAAAGCAGACAAGAAGCGATGCTTTCATGAAGAACATGGAAAAAAACCAAACAAACCTGGAGGCTCGCCAATGCCCCATTATCACATCGCTCCAGACTCTTCTCTGCAGGATGCATGGGTGGCGGGTGGAAATGGAGCGTTCTTCCAGACACATCTCTCCCCTGCCCGATGAGGTGCTCTGCAGACCTAATTGTTGTCCCAGACAATGGCTGGCTGTCCGAGGAAGCTCAGGAAAGATGGTTCCTGAAGTCACCCTTTTAAACACTTTCTCTGCTGTTTTTTCCCCTTTAAGCTTTCTGATCGCGTTCTGATAGGAATTCAGATTTTGTTTCTCTGTTTGTGTCTCCAAGGAATTTTGTCACAGTTCATGCCTACACAGTTCATGCCTTCCAGAATAACATTTCTGTTAATTAACTACATTGTGCCCTCCTGTCAGGAGTAGAAGATTCTCGCCTCTAAGAACAGTGCATCAGTTACACTAAGTTAATGAGATACCATCAATATCTTACTGTGCAAGTAAAAAAAACATACATGAGAAAATTAGATTGATGTTACTCATTAGCATATTTTACAGGTAAAATTTTAAGACTGTATTTCACTGACTATATTTACTCACTCATTCGGTGAGTGTTTATTGAGTACCTACAATGTCCCATATGCTGTGCTAGGTGCCGAGGGAACATAGTCAAATTAAGCATGGTCTCTTTCTCTCAGAGGGAATTCAGAGATCTGTCTGTTTTGGAAAATAGACAAGTAAATCAATAGTTACAACAATAATAAAAATAGCTCAACTTAATGCATTCACTGTGTCTCAGGCACTGTTCCATGGATTTTAGGTAAATCATCTCACTTTCCTAATGAACCTTTGAAATGGGCAGTACCATTAACATCTCTACTTTACAAATGAGGAAACTGAGGCATGGGGCAAGTAAGTTGCCAACATCCCACAGCTAGAAAGTGGCAGAGCTGGTGCTCGACCCCAGATGTTTTTTTGTCTATCCCAGTTCATGGCTGTTAACACCAAACTACGCCACCTCCCAGAACACATTGAGTGGCCGAGAGCACCTGACTGGAGGACAGGAGTATTTCCAGGGAATGTCATGCTTTAATTAAGTTTTGATGGATGAGCAGGAGCCAGTAAGGTGCAGAGGTGAGGGAAGAGTGGGGTTCAAGAAGGAAAACGTAAGAGGAGGTATACACCAGTGAGTGAGGGTGTGTGGACAGAACCCAAGGACTCGCAAGGGTACAGCTATAGCAGGGAGCCTGTGTTGGGGAACAGAGAGCTGGATCCAGAGGGGCCAGCATGGGCAGAGCACTCAGTGTACTCCAGGCGGGGGACAGATGTGGCTTAACTTGACCCTGACAGTTTCGGTGAGCGGGGGCATAACACAATCAGACTTGCATTCACCAGAGAGATGATGGAAAGGCAGACAAGAAGTGATGGGGCAGAGTGAATGTAAGGAAAGTAACATCAACAAAGGGGTAGAGATGTGAGAGACCCTTAGAAGATAGGTCCCGCCAATTTTAACAAAATGCCTGTGAGAATGAAGTAGAAAGGAAGGTTCTAAAATGAAACCAGTGTTTCTGGTTTTGATGATTGTGCATGTGGAGCACCTTTGACTAAGAAATACAGCATTCGAGGGCAAAATGCAAACTACATTTGGATATTTTGAGTTCGCATGTCTGCAGAATATAATAGTATCTATCCAGGTGGACACATCTGGATCCCAGATCCACGTTTGGATCCCAACTGAGAGGGCGGAGTCAGAAATACAGTTTGAGAGTCATCATCACTAAGAGACTCATCAGGAAATAAGTATTTGGTGCCTGCAGCATGAATGAGATTGCCCAGGACAAATGTATAATTTTTCACCTACAGGAAAAAAGATGTCCAACAATGAAAACCACACTTACGGGATAGAAGGAAGCAAAATAGCTTGTAAAAGATGGGCAGAGAAGCAGGAAGACAGTGATAGCCCAGGGATCAGATGAAAAAAGAATTTCAAGAACAACAAATAAATAGTGTTTGGGAACTGCTGAACTGAGTGGTCACTAAAATAAGGATGTAAAGTGTCCATCAAGTTGAACATGTAGAGGTCTGTGTCAGAAAGTAAGACAGTGTGGGTGACTAGAGGTGGATATGGGGAGCAGGGGACTGGGGCTTTGTCCATTGTTCTTGTAGCCGTTGTAAGTGGTGGAAACTTGAGCACACATATACATTAAGAAGGAGAATCCAGTAAACAAGAAGAGGTTGGAGGAATGGGAAAGAAGGACAGTCTGAAAGAGTGAGACCCCCCCAAGGAGGGGGAAATGAGTGAGATCCAGAATCTGAACATCTGAAGGGGCTGAGAGAAACAGGCCAAAGCAAGGAGGAGAGGGTAAGCCACAAATGAGTGGTTCCCTTTCTGAATCAGAAATGACTTTGTGTTTGTTGTTTCGTTCGTTTGTTAGTATTTTTGAGATGAGACTATTGCTCTGGAAATATTCACTAACAGCCATGGATATATCCATGTATTTTGTCGGAGTTACCCTAGGGAGCTATTTGACTTGTCTAGATCCCTTTTCTGGCTAAGGTGGTAATCATGACCATCGTCGCATCAACAGGCCACCACTTACCTCGCATCATCAGGGCACCACCTGAGCACCTGCCAGGTCAGAGGCAGCGGGTGGACCCTGGAGAGTCTAGGGTGAAGACAAGGAAAACCAACATCCTCATCTAATGAAGGATTCAAACATATTAATAACGGCACAGATATATGACTTTTGTTGAAGGTGTCTTAAGTGCCAGGCGCTGTTCTCAAGCTTTTGCAGATATTAAAAGTTTTAGGTTTTATAACAAGTTTTATCCACATTTGACAGAAATGGAAAGGAAACTGGGGCACACAGTTCACACATCTGATTCAGATTT